GACCGACCGCGTGACGTGACATGTTGCGGTTGAATTTCAGCGACTAGTTTTTCTGTTGCCCTCTCCCCCGTTTGCTGTCGCGTTCAGACTGTCTCTACGATATGTTTGTTTATGTCCTCGTCTGTCTTTGGTTTATTTCGTTTTATTTTGTGTTGTTTTTTTCATTGGCACGTACTGCTGACCCTTGGGGTCCTTCCGAAAGGCCACCCCCCAGGCTGGTGGTGCGCACGTTCCACTATTTAGTTATTTATTTGTTTCTGATTCTTTTGTTTTCTTGTATTTTATCGCTCTGCTAACCCTTGGGGTTCATTTTATTTTGGTATACCTTTTCTAGGAACGTTAACCTGTGACCACAGAAATTGACCGAGTCAAGTGCTGGATTGGTACGGAGAGATTGAGACAGAAGGAGGTACTGGATAGAGAGACCGGGATGGTTTTTAATGTGAAGACAACAACAACAACAACAATCTCGGCCAGTCTCGCTGCTACCCTCTCGTTCACCAACTCGTTGATCCGGGCGTCGTCGTCCACTGCTTGACGGTCGCTCTCTCGGTCTCGGTTTCGGTCGCGAGTGCTCATCGGTGACTGCTGCTGATTGCCGCAAGACGACGTCCAAACTAAGCTCGACGCGAATATCGTTGACGACGTGTCATACGCTAGCGTGATCGATCATTCGGGTGGCTCAGTTCTGTGTGTTGGGAGTGTAGAGCAGCTGGGCCATGACGGGCCGTGGTAGGGGAGGGACTTATAGGAATCGTGTTGTGTTCTTCGGGGGCGTGCTCGCGCTCGTAGATCTGTCACGGCATCAAGCACCCGTCACGCTCATGCTCAAACTACCAAACGGATCTCTCTGGACCTCCATCACACTCTTCCCACTTCCAAGGAAAATACCCAGAAAGTTCTGATTCCTCCGCATCTCATCTCTGCAATTTATACGTACATACTGAAGATCTTACCCGTCATACTATGCTACGAGTACCCCCAATATATCTAATACGATAAAGTTACACCATTAGACTAGTCTGCGCTGACTAGTCTAATAATTCAACATTTGTCGATTAGCTCCCCCCTGAACATGTGCAGAAAACTAGAGTAAGTGTGTTAAGGACCACCCCCCTACTAGGGACCACTTTTTTCAAAAAAACATATCTTGCCGATACCATCGCGGAAAGCCTTTCTGTTTTTTGCTTCGTGTTGCTATGGCCCTCACCTTTCATTTAAGCCTAAGTTTACTCAATTTGATGGAGGACTTCGTTCATTTGACGATGCTGCTCTTCGGTCATGCCGATATAAGCTTTGATGTTGCCTAGNTGCTTCGTGTTGCTATGGCCCTCACCTTTCATTTAAGCCTAAGTTTACTCAATTTGATGGAGGACTTCNCACGAAATGTACTCACTTGGCTAGTTCGGCGTGCTTCTTCAGGCTGTACCCAACGTCTTGTCGCAACTGTTCCCGGCTCGTGAACCCATGCACCCATACCATGAGATGACCGTGAAGCATTAGACGATGCTGCTCTTCGGTCATGCCGATATAAGCTTTGATGTTGCCTAGCGGCCCACCATCGCCATCGTTAGCCTGAAACCTCAGAATATATTTCAGCACCGCCTCGATAGTTTCGTGAAAAAAAATGGCTGAAGCCACGGGATCGTTCACGATTATATCAAGCCGTTTTCTGAAATCTGGCATCTGTTCATGGCATGTCGACGATAGGTTGATGTCGTGACCTCCGTAATGCATGACGAAGGGACTGTTCAGGTCTGAAGGATTCACCGTCATCCAGAAGAAAGGCTGTCCGAACAGTATAAACATGGAGTGTGCTGTAGTACGCGCCCTGTGCTTTCCGTGGTCTGTCCACGTCGCGTCTCCCGATACTGCCTGCATCGTCCGAAGAAGAGATCTTATCTCGGGTCTGTTGTTTAAAACCGCGCTGGTTTTTTTCCCTGACTTGAGTTCTTCTGCCATGGCATGTAAATGCTCTTTGGTGATAGAAGCGATTGCGTCTGCATTTGCAGAATTAGGTTGAACCGACAGCTTGAATCGCACATTTGCAAGTGCTTCGTGTCTGAAACGAATTGCAGCTACGCAAAACAAAAAGCAACGATCAATCCTCCATGAACTGTCTCGCCGATTGAGCAGAATCTGGATCCACCTGTTGAATGATACCAACCTTTTACGCGTAGGACACAAAGGACTTCCACAGCCTTCCGGAAACGCGTGCATGACTCCTTCTACCCAGGCAGAGTTATTGTTGCAATCGTCTAGGATTTCACCGTGTGGCACAACGAGGGCGTTGCTGGTACCTCCGGGCGGAGGTTGCCCTCTACGCAACGCCGCCTCCGCGTCTAGCTCGCTGCCTAACGTTCTCATCGCATCCGGAAGTCGTTCAGCCGAGGTCGCGGTGTCTTCACCAGGATCCACCACCGCGTAGTTTTGCAGAACGCACGCCTTGCCGTCTTCCAGGTCATCTCCAGCCTCCTCATCGTCACCTTCATCGCTGCTGGAACTTGTTGAAGAGCTGTCATCGCTAATCGTGACTTTTTCAGTCCCGATTTCGTCGCTACTTCGAGTGTAGGTAGAAGACACCCTTGCGTGCACATTCAATGGATCGTTCGATGTCAGAATTGAATCCAACAGCACCTTTGGGATAGCGCCATTCTCGCTATACGAATCGAGATTCTCTTCACTGATAGGAAGAGATTTCGCCAGAGGAAACCCGACGACAAGTTTCTCTTCTTTGTCGAGCATGTAGTCGATTATGTCCCTGATCATTGATTTACGAGCGCCCAATAGACGACCAAGATCCGAAGTTTTCGGGTTCTTTTTCCCCGCTAGCACCACCGTGATCATATCCAGCAGACCAGTCGCCACCAAAGGTAACTCCGTCGTGACGGAGCTCGAGTTGTTTGCGTAAAACACAGATGTTCCTCGCATTGACTTCTTTGCCGTTCCAGGAATGTTGTTAACACGCCTGGATTCCAATCTACAACGTGACCCTTTGTGCGAATCGGATACGCAGCGGCTCGCTCGACGAACGTTGCCTTCTGCAGCTCATCGGGTAAGGTACCGACCAAAACCCGTTCGCCAAAGCAGCATCAGGTAAAATGTTCCTCGCCAACGACCGGTAACACTCGTCGCATACATGTATCTTGTACGGTTCCTCTGACTCGATTCCGAACTTACTTAGAACAAGGGTATCTAACGCTCGCTCCGTGTCGCCTGCATAACCACGAAAAGTTGCCATCACCCCCTCATGCTTGCGAAGGGCTTCATCCGCCCTTAACAGTTGTTTGTTAGGAATCTCGCTTGCTGAAATCACGTGATGACGTCGTACCAAAGTCAGCCTATCGCACACGGCACAGGGAGACCTGTGAGCAAAAAAAGTGTGATGTACAGCAGTATTGACCTCGATCTAAACTTGGGGATTATGTCACGTTCTAACCGACCACCCTCGTCGAGGCCGACAAGTCATTATATTGCCTCAGTAGTTCAGTCTTACTACTTTGCTGACACTCACCGCGTGCTACCCGCGAACATACATGTGGTCACGAAAGTCCTGCAGCCCTTGCGGGAAAGTTTCCGCGCGAAGAGGAGTCATCTAATTTACGCTATCTCTGCACGTTTCTTGGCCTTCTGTTGTCTCAATCGCCGCAGTCGGGATCTCCCTGTTGAACACAATCCTCTCCACTTCATCACTGCTAGAACCACCGTGGACGTAATCGTCATCGATAACCATATCGTCCACTCTTCGTCGTTGTTCGTACCTGAACAATAAACGTCCATTCTTCATTGTTGCAATAATTGCTGATGATTGTCTACGAATCTTCTGTAAGTATGCTACTGCACACCAGTGGATAATTTTATACAATCTGCTAAACATCAACAGCTGGTGCATAGGACAGAAAAAAAAAGTATAATAAAATAAAAGTTAAGTGTGGTGGTCATGCATGATGGAACCTCCGTGGTGTACAATGTAGACTAGANAGCATATCGTCCACTCTTCGTCGCTGTTCGTACCTGAACAATAAACGTCCATTCGTCATTGTTGCAATAATTGCTGATGATTGTCTACGAATCTTCTGTAGGGTATGCTACTGCACACCAGTGGATAATTTTATACAATCTGCTAAACATCAACAGCTGGCGCATAGGACAGAAAAAAAAAGTATAATAAAAAAAGTAAAAGTTAAGTGGTGGTCATGCATGATGGAACCTCCGTGGTGTACAATGTAGACTAGAGCGGAAAGAACAGCAGCGACCTCGCCTGCGACGCGATCCTGTTCGTGCAGCTTCTCATCAGATTACATGTGGTATACTCAGTAAGTACTCAGTATTACACGACAATGAGGACGTCGTCTGGTAAATCGTCTAAGATACCGCACCTCCTCTGCATTTCCCGAACCCGGTTATTTTCCCGAGTTCTCTCTTGACGAGTGCTCCTGATATAAGCCGATGTTCCAAAACGATGTCGTCCTCTGGGTGGTCGCCTAGGATTCATGACGACGCTGATTCCGCTGCTCACCGTGCGTGTGTCCTACTGCTGCTGTATGTTACATGTTGTGGACTATGTGTACATACACCTTGCTGTGAGACCTTTGATACATCTTTTTTTTTGTTCCACTCGGTTCCACTGCCCACCAATGTTGCGTTTCGTGCACGTACTAACGTGTTTTTTTACAAACTCGCCGCCGCACGTCCTCGCACGTAGCATCCTGATTCCTGATGACTGTAATGCATGATGGTCACGGATTGCAGACCTCCTCATCGGCGGTGAGTACGCACAAAACACTTTCATGCTTCGCCTGGGTGAGTGTCGTACAGCGTACTTCGTTTACAGGTGCTCTGTATGACCCGGCAGCGATGTACGTTAGTTTCGTAGTCAACAGTGCTGGCGTCGATGAGTACGAACATCGTTTGTGTCCGATTTTTTCACCGTGTCCTAT